TGTCATTGTCAATAACGATTGGGCTAATAAGCTTCCTTTAGTCATGTTAGGTTTAAGAACAATAATTAAACAGGATATGGGATGTTGTCCAGCCGAGTTGGTATATGGGACTACTTTACGTTTACCCGGAGAATTTTTCGCTTCAGGTAAAAGTGTTCCGACTGATGTAGCCAACTACGTTCAACGCCTGAAGAAACACATGAACGATTTAAAAATAGCACTTCCTAGACTACAACAACGTCGAGTATTCGTACCTCAGCAACTACATAATAGCACGCACGTATTTATCAGAAGAGACAACGTACAACCACCTCTGCAGCCGAACTATGAAGGTCCGTTTAAAGTGATTACGAAGACAGATAAGACAGTCACGGTAGAAAAAGCAGGGAAGACAGACGTAATCAGTATCGATCGTGTGAAGCCAGCTTTCATCGATAGCGATTTTCAATCGACAAGCATAAGCCTCTCGAAGACGATCACACCTACGAAACACGAATCTCAGGAGTCAACGACGCTAACGCACCAAAACGAAGAGACTCCGATAACGACAAAATCTGGTCACAGAGTAAGATGGCCGCAACGTTATGTCGCTACAATTTTTTACTGATAATTTTCTGCTACTTTGAATATTAATTATAATTCTTCCTCTTCATTGTATACATATGGATTATTACTTACTTGCTTACGCCTGTTACCCCTCGTCGAGGAGCATAGGCCGCTCACCAGCATTCTCCATCCAACTCTGTTCTGAGCCTTCCTTTCCAGTTCTTTCCAGTTAACATTCATCCTTTTCATATCTGCTTCTATTTCCCGGCGTAGTGTGTTCTTTGGCCTTCCTCTTTTCCGCTTCCCTTCCGGATTCCAAGTTAGGGATTGAGTCGTGATGCACATTGATGATTTCCTTAATGTATGTCCGATCCACTTACAACGTCTTTTCCTTATTTCCTCTTCAGCTGGAAGCTGGTTTGTCCTCTCCCATAAAACGCTGTTCTTGGTAGTATCCGGTCAATGGATGTTGAGTATTTTGCGTAGACAACTGTTTATAAATACTTGTACCTTCCTGATGATGGCCGTAGTAGTTCTCCACGTTTCAGCTCCATACAGTAGGACTGTCTTGACGTTCGTATTAAAGATTCTGACCTTGAGATTGGTTGAGAGTTGTTTTGAGTTCCATATGTTCTGCAATTGTAGAAATGCTGCCCTTGCTCTGCCAATCCTTGCCTTTACATCTGCATCCGATCCTCCTTGTTTATCAACGATGCTCCCCAGGTACTTGAATGTTTCCACCTCTTCCAGAGTTTCGCCATCAAGTGTGATTGGGTTGGTGTTCTCCGTGTTGCATTTGAGAATCTTGCTTTTTCCTTTGTGAATGTGGAGGCCTATCGATGCGGAGGCTGCTGCTACATTTGCTGTCTTCATCTGCATTTGGTCGTGTGTATGAGAGAGGAGGGCTAGGTCATCTGCGAAGTCCAAATCATCTAATTGATTCTGAGAAGTCCATTGTATTCCGTATTTCCCTTCAGATGTCGAATTCTTCATAATCCAGTCAATCACTAGAAGGAAGAGGAATGGGGAGAGTAGACAGCCTTGTCTGACTCCGGTCCTTACTGGAAATGCATCTGTCAGCTGTCCTCCATGCACCACTTTGCACTGTAATCCATCGTATGAGTTTTGGATAATGTTGACGATCTTCTGAGGAACTCCATAGTGTCGAAGAAGTTTCCATAATGTTCTCCTATCCACGCTGTCAAACGCCTTCTCATAGTCGATGAAGTTGACGTATAGTGATGAGTTCCACTCAACTGATTGTTCAACGATGATCCGTAGTGTCGCAATCTGGTCTGTGCACGACCGATCCTTACGGAATCCAGCCTGATGATCCCTAAGTTCGGCGTCTACTGCGTCTTTCATCCAATTCAGCAGCACTCTGTTGAAAACTTTTCCTGGTACTGATAACAAACTGATGCCTCTGTAGTTCTCACATTGGCTCAGATCTCCTTTCTTTGGTATCTTGATGAGATATCCTTCTTTCCAGTCCGTTGGCACTTGTTCCTCTTCCCAAATCTTTTTGAATAGATGGTGAAGCATGTTTGCAGTTATTTCAATGTCTGACTTCAGTGCTTCTGCTGGTATATTGTCAGGTCCTGCCGCCTTCCCACTTTTGATTTGTCTGATGGCCATCTTGACTTCTTCGATCGTTGGTGGAGTGACATCTATTGGAAGGTCAGTGTGGGCTGCTTCGATGTTCGGTGGATTCGATGGGGCTGGTCTATTCAGCAGTTCCTCAAAGTATTCTGCCCATCTTTTCCTCTGTTCCTGAATCTCAGTGATTGTCTTTCCTTCTTTGTCTTTGACTGGTCTCTCTGGTTTGCTATATCTCCCTGCCAATTTCTTCGTTGTATCATATAGTTGTTTCATATTCCCTTCTCTTGCAGCTTTTTCCGCCGCCGTTGCTAGTTCTCCCATGTATTTCTGCTTGTCGGCTTTAATGCTTTTCTTCACTTCTCTGTTTGCTTCTGCGTAGTCTGCTTGTGCTTTGACTTTCTCTGCTCGTGTTCGGCTGTTGTTAATTGCTAGTTTCTTGTTCTTCCTTTCTTGAAGTTTGTCCAGGGTCCCCATAGAGATCCATTCCTTGTGATGGTGCTTCTTAGGACCAAGAACCTCCTGACACGTTGAAGTTAGTGCTTCTTTTATCCCTTTCCAGTTGTCCTCCAAAGTAGTTTCTTGTTCTTTCAGTAGATCCTGTAGAGCTTGGAACCTGTTGTTGAGAGTTATCTTGAATTCATGGAGTTTGTCAGTATCTCGAAGGAAGGCTGTATTGAACCTTTGTAGTGCTGTTTGTCCAGTTGTCCAGTCTTTCTTTAGCTTCAGTCTCATCTTGGCCACAACCAGGTGGTGATCTGAAGCTATGTCAGCTCCTCTCCGGGTTCTCACATCTTCCATTGATCTTCGGAATTTTTTGTTGATACAGATGTGATCAATCTGGTTCTCTGTGGTGTGGTCCGGTGAGATCCATGTAGCTGTGTGTATGCGTTTGTGTGGGAATATTGTGCCGCCTATAACCAATTTGTTGAAAGCACATAGGTTTGCAAGTCTCTCCCCATTTTCATTTCTCTCTCCTAGTCCATGTCGTCCAATTACATCTTCATATCCTGTGTTGTCCACTCCAACTTTAGCATTTAGATCTCCCATAAGGGTGGTGAGGTCATTTCGTGAGCACTTTGCTATAATTGATTGCAGCCTTTCATAGAACTGATCTTTATCATCGTCGTTGCTATCATTGGTGGGTGCATAACATTGGATAACATTCATTGTGATCCCTTGCTTCTTTGTTCTGAATGATGCTTTGATTATCCTGGGTCCATGAGATTCCCATCCCACAAGTGCATTTCGTGCTTCTTTGGACAGCATTAGAGCAACTCCCTGAGTGTGTGGCGCATTTTCCCCTTCGTGGCCGGAGTACAGCAGCATCTCTCCTGTACCTAGCCTTTGTTGTCCAGTTTGTGTCCAATGGGTTTCGCTGATTCCGAGTACTGCCAAGTTGTATCTCCTCATTTCCATTGCTATTTGGCTGGTCTTTCCTGTTTCCCACATTGTCCGGACGTTCCATGTACCTATAAAGAGTGTTGCTCTGGTTGTTAGAAGGTGCATCGGTCTCGTGACTTCCGAAGAATTTCGGCTTTCATCATGAGACGTCATTATTCCTTCAACACCCAGGGCAGAGTTTAAATGGTTTGGATTATTTTTTCTGGTTAGCGTTTTTTTAGCGAGTTAGCTTTTCTACGGGATGGGGTCGCTAACCCCATGCCCAACCCTCCTCCTTTACCCGGGCTTGGGACCGGCAGTAACTCTAGAAGAGCTACAGGCGGAGTTATATGGATTATTAAGTTCATGTTATACGCTATTAAACTCGGCACAGCTTATGTACACCATTGCGCTTATACTTGTAATTTTTTTTTCGAAGCGATGCCGTATTCCTTCTGTATCTTACCGCTATTTTGTATAGCCTAACGGACGGGTGCGAACTAAATGCACATTAACTTCATTCTAATTTTGTACAAGCCCATATCTACGATTGATTGTAACTACGCTATCCAATTTACTGTACTTTATGCAAACACAGACATTTTTTCATATATCTTTGTTTGCAGGGGGGAGTAATATAGCAACCATCCTACAATCACTTTCGATTATAGCCAATTTTGGTTAAGCCCTTTTTTATAACTTACTTAACAGACATTGTCATTTGGATAGTAACAATTTGCATATTCTTTGCACTGCTATACCACTAGAGCACATGACACCCTAGCCGAAATGTTGACTGCTTAAAATCATTCGATGACTCATACTCCTCCCCATATATGTACGCACACAAATATTATTATTAGCCTTTGTTTTGGTTTGCTGTGCCCTTATTAAATTTGACTATAAATTGCCTATGTAATTGCTTGCTATTCGCTCGCTCGCTTGTTAGCCTGTTCACTTGCTCGTTCACATTCGCTTAGGTGTTGTTAGCTTTCGAACCTGAGTCATTCGACAATAAACTGTAGTTGCTGCTATCCTTTGTCTTCTGATTTTACGCGCCGTTAAGTTTAGAATTATAACGGTTATCGAAGTAAACGGTTAACGAATCGCGGCACTACAGACTATTATGGGAACGAACCTACGGCTGATTCATCATTAAGGTTAAAAATTTGAGATGATTTTCTGGATGATATTCATCTAAAAATTATGGAACAATGATTACTGTATATACTTGACTTAACTCCGCCTGTATCTCCTCCGGGGGCTACTGTCGGTCCCAAGGAGGAAGGTTGGGCATGGGTTTAGCGATCCCAACCCGTAGAAAACCAACTCGCTAAAAAGCGCTAACCAGAAAAAAATTATATACTTGACTTGGTTATCGATTTCCATCAATAGTCATGAGCAGACCAGGATCCCACCAACTACTTACTGAGTGTTACACTATCACCAAAATAACATTGAGAACAACATAGAAATAATGTCTAGTATCAAATCAATCTATTGAGACAAACTACAAACAACAGTGACAAGATGACATGTAAAATATACATGGTATATATATGAAAGGCGTTCTTTGTACAGTTAAGAAAGACATATGTATGAATAATTCATCATCATAAAGAGAATAGTCTTTCCTCTTTGTTGACTTCTTAAATCAATTCCTATATAATGAAGAGAAGACATGTAAAGAAAAGGGGAAATAAAAGAAGTATGCCACTTATTAGTTTATAATAATCAGAATAACAAGCAAAATACTGTCAAGTTGGTTTGCGTTCTATGTATATCCCCTTATTTTCCGAATATTTTATATACTGTATTATACTACTTACTAATGTTCAGTAATCAGTTTCGATTAAAAAGAAAGGGCGTACAGCATATGTTTATCTTATAAATATATAACATTCCTAAGAATTCACATAAATTAATGGTACTGATTGTGAAGTTGAGTGACACGGTATCGAATCCGTCAGGGAGCAACAATTCCCTCAAGATTGCAGGTACACCTTGCTGAAGAGTGCCAAGTAGCACGAAACCCGAGTCCAGGGTTTCCTGTTGACCACCTTCAATCACCATCTTATCTCAACATAGTGCACGCAGTGTCGAGCCACCTACACTAGTGGCCACATTGAAACTTGATCGATAGCATTCGATCAGTACTAAGAAGGACTTGATACGCATGGAATTGATCACCACCCAGTGATCAATCAATTGTAATGGCACTTAATTTGTTTATAATTGTAATCTCACCTCCTTAATACTTTCAACAGTCACTTCCGATTTTGGAGTATTCGCCAAATATTTATTCATTCGCTTATCCGATCTTATTGTAAATCACTTTGTATATACATCCCAGGAGGGATCTTTCTTTGAGTGTAAAAACATGACTGACACTGTATATTTTCATGATAACAATACAGTATTTGTCGATCTTTGATCAACAGATTTCAAGCATCATTTAATTGTGTAGTGAGGAGCTTCAATAAGATTTAACAATTAGTGACTATACAAAGTTTTATTACAGAATATAAACTTCTAGACAGTCCCAAGGTAGCGGGCGACAGACAATAGGTATATTTGCTCCTTCAGGATCCTAAAGCCTATGTGCACAACTGGTTTGAAATCAGGGTTTTCCAACTCCCCTAAGTGGTCTCTTCTTGTTCACCAACCGTGTGAAAGCGTTGGACACTCGCTCTTTGTCCCTTTAATTTCGCAAAACAAGCTGCCACCGCTAAAAGGCAGTGAGTCGGACTTCCCTGGCAGTAGCTATATAGGCGTAGCCACGTGAGAGCATTCCGCGAGGGGAAGTGGACTTTCCAAATCCTCGGTCGTACTAAGGGATTTAGGTGTAATTGAAGGCCACTAGATTTACCCGATAACAGCTTTAAATACTTTGCACAGAAATTTCTAGAGGCCCATTCTTAAGTTTATACATTTTTCAAAACAACTCCGCCTTCTTAGACTAGCGAGATTTAAATACATATGTAATAACCATCTTTTCGTATATTACCCCAAACTACTTACTAATATAAGTAGGTCAAGTTATTTTTAAACTTTTCTAAAGACTGAATACAATAAAATTTGTCAACCACCATTTCAGTTTTATCTCACTTTTCTCACTTGTCATCGTTTTGTCTACCTTAGTTACTATTATTATTTCATGGCATTTATGTGTTACTTCTTAAAGCTGCATTTATTCTGAATGATTTCCTGTGAACCAAAGGCAAAAACTTTTGGTGTAGTTTTGATTATTGCATGCAAAACCACCCTGTTTCTTTTAACTCCGAACTCTCCGACCTTACAATGAAGATTTACTTGGTAGAGAGCAAAGCATACTGATCTAAGTAAACATCATACAGGCATGAGCACGTGTACAGTGAACTTGGAAATAGAGTAAGAACTTAGTAGAGTAAATGACACGGACCAATAAAAAAACAGCATCCTTAAGCACAATTGGAGGTTTCGGCGGCAAAATAGGTTTACGTTCAAAGAATAATAATTAAGTAAGCGATTTCCTGGGGACTTAACATTCCCTCCCCTTTCAACAAATACTAACTCAAAGATAATTGTCGTCACAAACACATGTCAGTTGAAGAGCATCATTGGATATCATCAGCAAGGATTTGAAAACTGCTTCGTTATAACCCGATAGCCTTATTAAACAGTTAACACGTATGTGATAAGCCCGTAACAACATTCAAGGATTATTGTTAGCATGATACTAATCAATCACATTTTCTTATATTAAAATTTCGACTAATGTAGCGGACTTGATTTAAGAATGATAAATAGCGACTAAATAACTTGCTTTTCTTAGTCCCTCCAATAACAGTTGGTAGTCAATTACTTCTTCTTTCTTCTAGTAATTGCTCCACCTTTACCGCTAGCAATTAATTTCGCCTCTTCAGCTGATTCATACTCTTGTATTAATGCATCACTAGTTGCTTGTCGAGTCGGACAATACTTTAGATACTCCATTGTAAATTCACCTTTACCCTCAGTGATACTGCGTAACTCACCAGAAAAGCCAAACATATCATTTAATGGTACCTATTAGAACAATGGAGATGAATAATTGTTGAATGTAAAAAAGTTAACGACTTGTTTAAAAAAATGTATAAAAATTAGATTTCTATGTTACATTCTTTTCCAATACACATATACAATTAGGACCCAAATGCCCTGGTACGGATGAGAGTCGGAAGAGTTCACTCTCCCTCTCCAAATACTCTTACATGGCCACACATATATAGCCTCTACCGGGGATGTCCTACTCACTCCCTTCTCGTGGCATCACTCTTGTTTACCAAATTCAGAGGACGAAATGCGAATGTCCGGCGCTATAACCTGGCTGGTGGACACGGAGGATCCACCTAGGGTAGTTGGAAAACCCTCATTCCAAACCAATAGTGCATATGGGCTCCATGATCCTGAAGGAATAAATAGCGTATGAACCAACAGTCAGTCACCGGCTATCATGAGACTGCATCTCCTTACGATACTTCACTGACTTGTGGATCAAACCTTTAGGTCAAAGGCTCGGGGTGTCGCCCCCTAAGAAAACTACCTACTTTAGTTTGGGCACCCAGGCAGTATCACAGCCCTCACACAAATCAAATGAGATTTGTGTGGCGCATATAAATCTGGTGCCCCTTTGTACCAATATTTGTGTTTAAATAAATAATAAATAAGTATGTTTCGATAATGCAATGAGAAGACGAAGATTATCAGAACTATGTGATATATTAGCGCAATACATTTCGAACAATCTGATCACACATATACTTGTTAAGAACATTTATATATAAAAATAAAAGGTCAACTAGACTGGAAATAGGGGTAAGAATAGACAAGGATAATAATGATAAAATAATGTGAAAACAATTTGACACCTAATCACTCTGGATAATAAGCATATATTACCAGGGTAGGTTTAAAGAGAGAACAAACTGTTTTTGAATACACAAAGGGGGGTTGAATTTTCGTATGGCTAAGGCTTCAACAAACCTTAGTATACGCCCTTTTACACTTTTAAACAACACCACAAAAGCCGAGTTTAGATCAATCTTATGACCTGTTTCGATTATATGTTTAGCAATAGAGGATGATGGATGTTTATCCTCTACTCTTATTGGGTCATTCGACTGTATTTGTTTTTGCAACCATTTTGGTACATGTTCACCCACCCTAATTTTCAGATCACGATTGCTCCTCCCTATGTATGTGTGACCACACACACATTTAAATTGGTAAACACAGTGGGATGTGACACAATCGTTTTCATTTCGTCTAGGTTTTGAATGAAGCATGGACCTCGTTCTTTCCTTGATTATGACTTTCGCAGCACAATACAAACAAGGATATTGTCTTGTTGAAGCCTGATAAAGGATCAGGCGTGGTTATTATGAACAAATGTGAATATAAGGGTAAGATGTTATCCATCCTCAGTGATGAATGTAAATTCATGCCTGATGTTGAATTTGGAGGTATTAACAAACTAGAGGGAAGAGTAAATGCAAACCTAGAAAAATTGCTTCACATGAATATTATCGATAAAGAGGAATTTAATCTCTTAAAACCTATGGGTTCAGAGTATCCTCATTTATATGGACTACCTAAAATTCACAAATCAAATATTCCTTTACGTCCAATTTTATCAATGTGCCGATCACCCACACATAACCTAGCCAAATGGCTAACAAAATTATTGGATCCTATTCGAAGACGTATATGTAAGTATTCTCTAAAGGATTCTTTTGAATTGGTCGATCATTTAGGTGACATTAATATCAAAGGAAAACCTATGTGCTCATTTGATGTGAATTCCTTATTCACCAATGTACCTTTAAAAAAGACTATTGACATATTATGTGACTATATATCTTCAAACAACCTTAATTTACCTATCCCCTTAAAATTTCTTAAAGATTTATTACTTTTATGTACTGATAAAGTTCAGTTCACTTTTGAAGGCGAATACTTTCGCCAGATTGATGGGGTCGCTATGGGTAGTCCGTTAGGACCATTACTAGCAGATGTGTTTATGGCACATGTAGAAAATTTATCTGAAGACTTAATCAAAAACATGTCACTTTATAAGAGATATGTAGATGATATCTTAGTAATTGGTGAAAGAAAGGAGGATATAAACTGCCTATTGAATAAATTTAATACTATCCAAAACCACATCAGTCTTTCATGTGAAGAGGAGAAGAACGACCAGCTTCCCTTCTTAGATGTACTTCTAAACAGACGAGAAGATGGCTCAATAAAACGATCCATTTTTCGAAAACCGACGTGGACGGGTCAATATCTTAGTTACTATAGTTATTGCCCTGTACAATACAAACGTGGTTTGGTAAAGTGCCTTTTTAACAGGCTTCGTCGTATTTGCACAAATGACGCTATTGATGACGATGTTAGGTTGTTAACCAAGACATTAATTGGGAATGGCTATCCACCTAGATTTATCAATAGATGGAAAGTTCAGGGCACAGCGAGACCTACTGTAGCCTTGGTAGAGAAAAAGCCTGTCTACATCACCTTACCATTTAGAGGTGATTCAAATAGCCTTTTATTGAAACAAAGGCTTAAATCTGTTATCAACAAAACGTATTGTGCTGCGAAAGTCATAATCAAGGAAAGAACGAGGTCCATGCTTCATTCAAAACCTAGACGAAATGAAAACGATTGTGTCACATCCCACTGTGTTTACCAATTTAAATGTGTGTGTGGTCACACATACATAGGGAGGAGCAATCGTGATCTGAAAATTAGGGTGGGTGAACATGTACCAAAATGGTTGCAAAAACAAATACAGTCGAATGACCCAATAAGAGTAGAGGATAAACATCCATCATCCTCTATTGCTAAACATATAATCGAAACAGGTCATAAGATTGATCTAAACTCGGCTTTTGTGGTGTTGTTTAAAAGTGTAAAAGGGCGTATACTAAGGTTTGTTGAAGCCTTAGCCATACGAAAATTCAACCCCCCTTTGTGTATTCAAAAACAGTTTGTTCTCTCTTTAAACCTACCCTGGTAATATATGCTTATTATCCAGAGTGATTAGGTGTCAAATTGTTTTCACATTATTTTATCATTATTATCCTTGTCTATTCTTACCCCTATTTCCAGTCTAGTTGACCTTTTATTTTTATATATAAATGTTCTTAACAAGTATATGTGTGATCAGATTGTTCGAAATGTATTGCGCTAATATATCACATAGTTCTGATAATCTTCGTCTTCTCATTGCATTATCGAAATTTATCAAAGGGACTAATTGCTTTAAATAAGTATGTATTTATTGATGATATTCCCAACACTATGATATACGAGTCATCCAAAAATCAAATATGTTACTATGATTATTATTAGTCAGTAATAGTAAAGATAATAAACTAGTTATGATCGTTATCGGACTACATGATCCCAAAGTGGACACGTTGTGATTACACAGTGATAAGAGGATAAACAACACTTGAAGATTTAGCTTGCATAAAGAGTGTGAAGGTGTTATATCCCGTGGAAATTAATGAATGGTAACTTTGAGAACTATTTATGGACCAATATGATATGTATATTTCCTATTGTATAATTGTTGAATAACTAAACTATTCATATTCGTGTCCCTCTTATTATAAGCTTGATTTTGACCCATAGACTATTACTGTACGATTTACCATTCCTGAGTTGTACCCAGTCTATTAATTACTGTTCCCCCCTATTCACAGCCACATTTGGCCAAATCTTGTACAAATGTTATTTTCTATTTCATGGTACAATGTGGTCAGTTTGTTTGATATATAAACTCAGTATGTTTGAAATAAACGATTCATACCGCAGAGGCTGAGATTGGTGTTCTGGACTTAACTGGATGGGCTAGGCAGAAAGCAGGACCGATACGTACTCTAGAATGCTCGTACAGTTTTCGCGTGTCACTGTTGCAATCGATAATTCGCTGCTCTCTGATTGGCGGTTTTATCAAGTCACACATCAACAAGGCATCCACTCGGCCACAAAATATAACATTAAGAGAAGAAATATAGAACTTACTTCTGCATTAACCAAAGCATATGATTCACTAACTTCCGTACTGACAATAAGACCATTACGTCGTGTTACAGTAGCAATTAATACACCTTGATATTCTGCTGGTCCAGATACTTCCACATACATAATCGGTTCTAATAATAACCAAGAACCTTCATCCATAGCTAAACGTACAAATATTTATAAAGGGGGAAAAGAAAACATTCAATAGCTACTCAAATAGACGAATAATAAAGTCTTATCATTTTTGTTTTAAGAATTCGCATCAAACACTTACAATCATGATTAAGTAATAAACATTGGTAACTAGATAAATTGACATGCCACACGCAGTTGGTTCTTTTCACAATTTTAATAAAAGAAAAAATGACACTGATTACCGGATAAAATTCTTGCTTTTTCATCAAATCATGTTAATAAATTAAAATAACCAAACATTATTCAATTGTACATTTTAACTGAAGGAAAAGTGGTGAGACTACAATTTGCGGACGACCTTTAAGCGACGTTAAAGTGACCTTGAAAGTGTTCTCCTAATGACTAGGACCAACTGAGGGTTATAAACCAGTGTGAGGAATTACAATTATGATTTACAGTTGATGGTTAAGTCAGTGGTCTTGAGTGCTGTTACAGGTATGAGGGTAGTTATCACTTTCCGGTTGCCCACACCGTGGAAGGGTTCTTCTAGAGGTACTTGAAAAGGAAACTGGGTTAGAAGTGGTCTTAATGACCTGAGAGCGTGACCGCAGTGCCCAAGAGACAACTGCTTGAGGTCGGTCAGACATGACCTTTTGGGGGTAGTTTTTGTGTTAGCTCCGTTCTTCAAAGGACCTTACCGCCGGAGACGGATATCCGTAGGATAAGGTGAGGTGTATATTTTTAGGGTCGACCTTTTATAACCCCACCCCTCCTTGTGGGAAGGCAGTATCGCCGTTATGCTGGTTGTCTGAAGGAAACAACTTACTGCTGTCACACCTCTGTACAGTCAGCAGTACGATTTCGCCTTCGGACCTTTGGTTTGCTGCTTTTAGTCTTACCGCTCTTCGACCGACCTGTCTGGCATGGTAGGACCTTGAGGAACGATTGTTCCAGCCAGTATAGCTCGATTGGTTCATCACGGTAGGCAAGCCCGACCACCACGTCAAGGTAGCAGCAACGGTCGAGTGTAGGTTGGGAATTAGATTTAAAGTTTTCATCACGAAATGATATCAGCTATCACGCCAAAACTCTATTTAAACAAACGGATAAGTGAATTTCACGCCAAAATTCAAGACCCGTCATTTTAAACCTGATTGGTTCGTCCATAAATTATAGTCTTGTCGGGAAAGCAACAAACTACAATGAATTCAACATATATCTATAATCAATGTTAATGTTACCTTATTTAACATGGAAATGACAAAAAATTGTGAATGACTGAAAAATTATCGTTTCATTTACCTTGTTTCATAGCACCTTCAGCTGCTTGTTGAAAAGCCCAATCACTACTATCTACACAATGATTATCACCATCTTGTAAACGAAATCGTACACCAGTAATTTTTTGTCCAGCTAATTGACCAATTTGACAAGAATTACGAAAACCAGTTTCAATAGCTGGAACAAAATTTTTAGGTACATTTGTACCAACTGTTTCATCGGAAAAAATTAATTTTGTATAAGAATCAGGTGGTAAAGGTTCAAGTATACCAATTACTCGACCATATTGACCAGCGCCACCAGATTGTCGTTTATGAAGATAATCAAATCTAAAATAAAGGTGAAAGAAAAAGAAAATGAAAAAAGTAACTGTCGTACAGGTATAAGCAGAATTACTATTGAGTATTATTCTAAACTATATTTCTGATAATGTCTCAAGACACTGAATGTACTATCACATTCTAGGACTCAAACTAGAGAGTTATGGCAGACTAACAGATATCGGTCCTATATAAACTTCTTTCATACCATAAAGATATGTCATAATCTGACCACTACATTCTAGCTTTTTTTATTCAGTCGCAGTGTGGGCAAATAGCGGATGATGAGGAAAATGCAGAGATGATATTCATAGTGGAAGTGCCAAACAGTAGCGAAATATTTATTTATTTAAACACATAAATATTGGTACAAAGGGGCACCAGATTTATATGCGCCACACAAATCTCATTTGATTTGTGTGAGGGCTGTGATACTGCCTGGGTGCCCAAACTAAAGTAGGTAGTTTTCTTAGGGGGCGACACCCCGAGCCTTTGACCTAAAGGTTTGATCCACAAGTCAGTGAAGTATCGTAAGGAGATGCAGTCTCATGATAGCCGGTGACTGACTATTGGTTCATACGCTATTTATTCCTTCAGGATCATGGAGCCCATATGCACTATTGGTTTGGAATGAGGGTTTTCCAACTACCCTAGGTGGATCCTCCGTGTCCACCAGCCAGGTTATAGCGCCGGACATTCGCATTTCGTCCTCTCAATTTTGTAAACAACACCGGTGCCATGAGAAGGCAGTGAGTAGGACATCCCCGGTAGAGGCTATATACGTGTGACCATGTGAGAGCATTCGGAGAGGGAGAGCGGACCCTCCCCACTCTCGGCCGTACCAGGGCATTTGGGGGGCCAGCAAAATATAGTTAAATCAATGTTAACTTTGTGTTACAGATGTTTTTGTTTTAAATACTGATTTTTATATTTCTTATCACCAAAATAGCCATCCCTCCTCACCTAGGCAAGATGTCTGTGTTTTTCATGTCTTCCCTAATATGTTATATTTATTTACAACACTTTTTATACCTCTTCAATCTCATTATTCCACTATGATGATACACATATAAGGTAATTTTGAAACTCAAGATCCATGGAAAGATGAAGAGTTAATACATCTGTCCCACTGAAACCAATTCTCAGCCATGTTATACAACATTTTCATCAAATGAGAACAGTTATCTTGTTCGGCCAGACAAAGGAAACTGCATCAACCCAAACTCCTTAGCTCAGTAATCAATGATTGAATGGATTGATGTCATATCTTGGATTTAACTTCTGTTATCTTCCTACCGACCTATTCCAACCAGCATTATATGTTGATACGCAACACATATCTTTGACAAATGAGTCGGTGAAAACTTACAGCCTTAACAACTGATTCACCATCTTTGCATAGTACGTTACTGTCTATTGAAAAAGAAGAGGAGAATAGTTGTTTTTATCCAGAGTAGAAAGGAAGAGATGATAGCTAGGAGTATCTGTCAATATATAATCAAACCACACTACCTTTTGTTTTCCTATTTTTTCTCTACCATGTACTTCCATGTATGAAAGTCATTACATAATGGGGAAATGTATTCACAATACTACTGCAATTTTATGTACACGGAAATGTCTAGTAACGGGAAAGTGATTAATGATGATCATAGTACATAACAATGTCTTGAATATCAACAGTCATTATCACAAGCATGGTAAGCAAAGATGGATAGTGGCTAGCAGTAGAATTAAGGCTATATCGAGGCAATACGCACAGTATGCACATATGCCAATTAGAGGCTGACCAGTTGTAGTCCTAAGAACATCAATGGGAAGATTCAACCAAACAATACTAAGTGAAGTCATTATCACATTATGATTTGAACAACAACAAAAAACAAACTTACGTGAATGGTTCACTTAATGTTTCACGAAATGCAACACGAGGTTTACCTAATATACATGGTGCATTATACTCTCGTGCTAAACGTTGAGCATAAATTTCCAAGTGTAATTCTCCCATACCAGACACTATTGATTCACCAGTATCAGAATCTTGTGAAAGAATAAACGTTGGATCTTCACGTGTAAATCGTGATAAACCTCTACTAAATAATTCAACAGTTGATCTATTTGTCGGTTTAATTGACATTGATACAACTGGTTCTGGGATGAACATTGATTCCTATAGTCAAGAAAAAATTAAATATTTCAAAGAAATGATAAAACCGATTTGCAACTCAGATGGACGCTTCTGATGTTGTGTTCACTGAGCTACATCATTTTGCTTGTAGAACTTTTATTGTCATTCTGGGCAGCAGCATCATCAGACTATACTTTATGTAGAAGTGAGTTTTTTTCAATTATTCTACGAGTGTTTCATCAGTTCGTTTTGATAGCCTTGTTTATGATCGATTGTTTGCATAAGTTTTACTATCATCATATGTTAGTGTTCCAGTTGACTGTTTTATTCAGTCAACCTCTGATCATTCGACTGGTTGGTCTCTTCCATATGGGTTGATAGATTAGATCTATGTCGAGGTGTATATTAATTGCCGAATGATTTGAATGACAAGCTTCTAAAATTTCCGTCACGTTCTTAGAATTCCCGCGCTTCATAATTTTAAAACTAACTTAATCGAATTTAAATCTTCGGTTGTCTGCGTGTACTGATATTGATAATAATGCATATTCGTGTCGCCTTACTGCTACTCTATGTTCATGTGTGAGTAGATGAAGAGGACATCCACTTTATTCAATGAAAGTAGATACAGGTGATGTACAGAATGACAATAGAAACTCTACAATTAGACCATTCGGCGCATAGAACACAATATCAACATATTCAAAAGGAATACAGAAGCCATAATAGTGTACTTTCATACAGTGACATGAGCTGTAGAACGATTTAGAAAATAAGTACTAGTCAGCATCTATCTCGTGCTACTTTGAGGTCTTCTGACAGTGTGCATCCACAGATCCATACGCTGAATCTAGTTATCCACATTTTGTAAACTCCAGTTTAGTCGTAATATAACGTGATTGAAAACCAACATCATTAATAAGCTAATACTATACACCATTCTCTATTCAGTTGACTAATAAGTGACTTTGAAATGATTTACTTAGAAGTGAAGATGGGAAATTTACCAGTTACATTGGTTAAAAAGTGAACTAGATCACAAATTAGTCGGAGTTGAAAATATGGGTCGATGGATTCTGATTCACATGTTGAATTAAATCGTGTTCACTAAGAGAACTTAGGGTTTTGAGCTCTATTTCATGTGGTGAAAATCAACTTCATCACTAGTAACTTAAATTCGATGGGTTGTTTTCATTTCGACAAGAGAATTGTGCAGTCAGCTAACAATAGTGTTTTGTTAAAAGTGAACATGGGCAGGTCTCACTTCACAGTTGTTCATACATTGGAAGGATGTTTCTTTAGGGACCTATAAAGTGAACTGTATTAGTAGTGGGCTTTTTTTAAACTGGGAATGTGATTTTGCGACCAAAGGGATAAATGTTTGAGTCCCGTTAGTCAGCTAGTCACAACGTCGAACTTCGTACGTACGTACATCAGTTCGAGTTGCCATACCGCATTAGCACAGAGATGAAGTTGTCGATTCAAATCCCATAGTGGTAGAAGTAGTAAGAGTATAAGCATTATGTGAAAGATTAGGGTTTGAAGATGTTATTGAAGGAGTGAAAGAATACATAAACATATAGTTGGTAAGTTAACTTTACATACGTGATTACAAAATAGCATTATGTTAAACAAGTTAATGTTCCATTAGTGAAATAAACACCGTCATCAATCAAGCCATAAACTTACTCAGATATTGTTAAATAGAAAAACTCACCATAGCTAATGGTTCTTTCATATTTACATCAACCATTGTATCACCAGATGCACAATCAACACCAAAAAATGCAGCAATATCTCCTGCATAAACAGCTTCTAAATCTTCTAATTCTGTAACATTTAATCGACCAAGTCGAGATACTCGAATACGACGACCTGTACGAGAATTTCTTACTGAATCACCACGACGTAAACAACCTTGGTAGATACGCATATAAGTTAACTGACCAAATTTACTAGCCTAAATTTTTTTTTAAAAATTAAGATGATTCGATCAAAAAAAGAAGTCGTTTTACTACATTATGTTTAAGTGATAAGCTCAGAATCGATCACAATGGCGTAGGTGTATACACTCTTTATCCTCCCTTAAACCTTGAGATTAAAATTCTTTTATATCTTCCTTTCTTCCTATACTATATCCTTATACACAACCTTTCTTTTATATATTACCACCACCAAATTAACTACTTTTATGAATCCGGTGTTCATCTTGTTGTGCTAACGAGGTATGGCAACTTGGGTCCTACGCTGTAGCTGACTGACTGACTGGAGTGATAAACTCAAATTTAGTCTGATCAACATTGTACGTAACTTCAGTGCTTATACGATAGATCAAATTGATATCAACTATATGGTAACAATCCTTTTTTTAAATCGATATCTTAATTTATTTTTTACTATAGCATTTACAACATTCGTAGTCATTCTGATGTTATCATTAAAGTTAAACATTAACACCGTTGGATGCCGACCGGCTCTGTGGTCTATCGGTTAAGTGCTCTGGCGCGAGACTGGGAGGTCCTGTGTTCGAATCTCGCGAGTGCGGAGTCGTAGATGCGCACTGCTGCGGAGTCTCAAAATAGGACGAAACGGCCGTCCAGTGCTTCTAGGTTTTCCATGGTGGTTTAACTTCCACTGACTAATGATTTTAACTATATATAATCATTTTCAGTTAATACACTTTGTAAATTACAGTTTAATAGAAAAGTATGAAATAAATGAATAATCACTAAACAATTGAATAAATACCGCCCATGTAACTACGCTATTAAGACCAAGTCAATTAGAATCTAGTAAAACGAATTTCGTTTTGTTGTGCAAAATTTAATAGCGAAAGTTTACAGATTCCTTTCTTACTGGTTGAAAAATAGATTTAAAATCATAATCTTGTTTTAACACCGTTACTGTCTCAAACCTATATAGTACAACTACACTATTCGACCTGTATACAAACGGCAAAAGATGAGACTAATCAATTAGGAGAAAGGTAAGTTTGCTCAAACAATCAAACAGATTAAAGTAGTTCCGTACAATGTAAAATTTATGAATGAAAGTGAAGTAAACGACTTATGAGTAAAATTCACGTACAATGAGCAGTGAAAAGACTTTGTCTAGTGCTTGGAACATTCGAGATTCTAAATGTTTGTTACCATGACGTAAAAACGATAGGGTTAAACGTATTGAAGGTGAATTTCTCTGTATATCGGTTTTATACAACAAGTAAATCAATCCTAAACCCTCTGAAATTGTAAAAACCCAAACCGGGAACAATGTCTAGACTCTTTAAAAAAAATTCCTTGCTTCCTTATAAGGTTCGAGAAGACGAATGTACTGTAGGTACAAAGACGAATTTATGTATCGTATTTTTTAATTACGAACACAAAAAAAACTTGTAAACGACCCGAATAGATTCATTAATGATGGAAAATTTTCGTAACATTATGGTTTTATCCATACGCCATTGACCGGTAATGACTGCTTTCTAATGGTCTGACAATAGGATAAAATTTGCCGTGGCTATTTTAGGAATTGTTCAAGCTGGTCACACTTTATAATCCCTATCTAATTTGAAATCGCACTAACGGTAATGAAAGGCATGTCATTACAACGAATATTGCCAAAAATTTAGTTATGTTAGGATTATTAGATGGTAGTTGGAGGTGGTTAACAGGAAACCCTGGACCCGGGTTTCGTGCGACTTGGCACTCGTCAGCAAGGTGTACCTGTAGTCTTGAGGGAACTAGTGCTCCCTGACGGATTCGATCCTATATCACCCAGCTTCACAGTCAGAGACGTTACCACTGAGCTATTCGGACCGCGACCGACCTCCTGTGGGACTGAGATGTAATGATGTTAGGACTATACTAGTATAGCATGTTTTGCAGTTAACAACTGAGACTAATAGAAAAGTTACTAAAGTAATTTGTAAGACAACTGGGGATTAGTATTAACTCTGAAAATATATGTAAACGAAACACGTTAAAAATAATGAATATGAAAATATTACTAACTTCCAGTTTGAAAGCCAGTCCCAGGAATGGATTATCACTGGTTCGTTCAGGTTTTAGTGGTACCTTTCTAGTTTCACTGAAACATAAAAGTACATGCAGAAAGTGTTAAATAAATCCAAATCAGTTAATAATATTAGTATGTACACTAGTGGATTCCCACTCAGTGATCTAGAGGTCAAGTGTTCACAAGTGGGATCGAAGGTCCTCGGTTCGATCCCCAGTGACAGAGTCATGGATACACATTACTAAGAGGTCGCATACTGAAACGAAATAGTGATTTAGTGCTCCTAGGTTTTTAATAGTTATCTAACTCAGATCGGTTCATGATTTCAATAATAGAGTTGATATTAGTTGGTTAAACTTTAAAAGTCATTAATTAAAAACCAAACATTTAGAAGAGTTGTATAGTTTCAAACTATTAGAGGGTGTGATTAAACTTCAATAGGGCTAGATTAGTCAGTGTAAATCATACTCAAATAAAAATCATTTCAACGCTACCTAGGAGGTGAAATGCGATCCCTGATAAACAAATGCATTAGATATGCGAAAAGAAAACTGACAAGTGTACAGTTGTTGCATACAAATACTTTTATATTATCTTGGGGAATAGAGCTTTAGGTAGAAGTAGGCTATATTAATAACCTGCGAAGACTTTTGAATAATCCTGATAAGGTAAAGTCAACTTTTAACCAACAAGAATGCGAGTGATAAAAACAAATAATTTACCACACAAAAACCTGATAAAGGTCGTAGCTTTATTAAGAATTTAGGGTTAGGTCTAGAAATCGGAGTCTGATCGAACACAGCGTTAGCAGTTTGGAGTAATAATTAAGAAGCGAAAGGTACTGGGTTCGAGTCTCGGAGTGAACATCAACTTTGAGATGCAGGTACATCTGGCTGACGAGTCCCAAATAGGATGAAACGCGCGTCCTGGATTCCACTGCTAGCCACTATCCAATGTCTACGAATATTTCTAGAAAGCCTTAGAGACTGAAAAATCCCAACATAAACTTTAACCAATCAAAACATTATGAAAATTCCATAAATTGTTCAAAGGTCAGTACTATAAGTGCTTAGGGTACATTAATATTAACACATTTTCATTAAACAACAGATAAACCTAATAAAAAAAACTTACCCAGAACTTTCATTCAAAGCATAATATATTACTTCTCCAGGGTTAGGCAAATAATCCACAATGGCATCGAGTAAAAGCTGTACACCACGGTTACGTAATGCTGAACCAACTAAAACTGGAACAAATCGTCTTGCAATTGTAGCTCTATGTAAACCAGCTTTTAATTCAGCTTGAGTTAATGGTTTTTCATTTAAAAATGCTTCTCCAATCTCGTCATCAGCATTAGCCAGACATTCTAGAATGTAAGAAGAGAAAGAATATCAGAGAACAATAACCACGGAGAAAAGTCTGATTCAATAAAAAATTGAAATAACGAATAAAGACGTCAGACAAGTAAAATTACAACCAGATTTTTGACTTGTAAGCATTGGATTCAAGTGCGATCGCCTTTCGTAACCCATACAGTCTGGTATATGATTTGGTAAAAATGTGATACATTTAACTCGCTATAAGTTTTAGGATGTACACCGTGCATTACATTACTCATCTTGTTGGCGGAATATAGATTGGATTGAAGCACATTTCGTGTAAGATTGTGTTGGTGCATGCTGATTGGTTATTTCTTATCCAATCAGAGCTAGCAGATAATTGGAGAAGACTCTAGAATCTTCTCATGTAAAAACCATGAATATACCAACTTTTTTTCTTATTGTGTTTCTTACTTCCATCTACCCGTGTTATTTGGAATATAATTTCGTTCCCGTTCAACCGTGTTCTGATCTTGGGACTTGTCGAGTGAATTGGTGTCCAAGAATACTAAGCAATATGAATAGCTGGGTCGTAATAAGAGAAATTATAACACATTTCATTCTTATATACCAGGCAAGTTTGGAGAAATCCCATAATGTTCCAAGTTCATATGGTCATATAGAACAAAATGTGTAAAATAATTTTGAAACTCAGTATCTAAAGGAATACAAAGAGTAAATGTATTTAAGGTGTAAAGACTGGTCCTGAGCTGTTACTTTCAACCAGTAAGTTAACAGAACAAAAAGAAAGTGAATAATGAAGGGGGAAAACATAGGACTAAATAAAAATAAACACTATATTTCATTAAAACAAGAAAAATTACCAATAAACTCAGCACGACGTTCTTTAGTTTCCGCTAACATGGATGATGGGATAGCATCTTGTCTTACAGTTAAACTATTGGGGGAAAAAATCACAGTAAGATAAAATGTACATTTTAAATCAAAAGATGTAAGGTTAATAATGTGATACGTTAAACTGTATGACAACTATAACTAATAACAGATTAGCCCCGAATTCCCTGGTACGGCCGAGAGTGAGGAGAGTCCGCTCTCCCTCTCCAAATGCTCTCACATCGCCACGCGTATATAGCCTCTGACAGGGAAGTCCTACTCACTGCCTTCTCGTGGCATCACTCTTGTTTACGAAATTGAAAAGACGAAAAGCGAATGTCCACAGCTTTAACCGGGTTGGTGGGCACGGCGAGTCCACCTAGGGGAGTTGGAAAACCCTGATTCCAAACCAATGGTACACATGGGCTCCAGTATCCTGAAGGAACAAATGGTGTATGAACCAATCGTAGGTCACCGGCTACAATGAGACTGTATCTCCTTACGATGCTCCACTGCCTTGTGGATCAGATCCTTGGGTCAAAGGCTCGGGGTGTGGTCTCCTAAGAAAACCACCTGCTTCAATTTGGGCACCTATGCAGTATCACAGCCCTCACACAAATCGAATTATGTGCGGCGCATATGTATCTGGTGCCGCTTTGTACCAATATTTATGAGTTTAAATAATAACAAATAAATCACAGATAATACTTCAGTTACATGATAGTACATACTCTTCAGTCACTAAGATATTAAGAGCAAATCAAATTATTTTTGAACGGAAACCTGATTACCATGGAAGAACTGAGTGGGAAATTCTAGGGCTAGAGATATATAACAAGTCAGTTGATGAAGCTGTGAGTTCTCATCCATCGAGGTTTTTGGGACATATGTTATCGATGAGCAACCGAAATCTACCCTTGTCCGAGAAAGTAACTGGAGTAAGTTGTAAGAGAGATAAAAAGGTTCGAATATTTAGGTTAGTGGCTGCTGGTCTGAGCCGAGTTGGTAGGTTCCGACTATCCAGTTGGGATCCGCATGACAATCGTGGCCGATGGTTGGCAATCTTAGATAACATGACTAAAGATCCGTCGCAGTGGCGTAGATGTATTTACTCCTCTTGTCTTAGATCTTGAGTGAAACTTACTGTTAGAAAGTTAATCACATTTCCTCGTTAACCAAGCCTATGTAGATATTTAACTAACTGGTCCAAATCCAAATGCTTACACCCCAACAAATCACAACTTCAGAGTCATTAAATAGCATGTAATAAGACATTACATACGTTATATTGGATGAAAAGTTGAATACATTAATCATAGTTATCACAAATTAGGACGAGTGAACACAAACATGATATTTCTTACACTCATCAATATCTAACGATAAAATTAAATAAAATCGACAAACCAAACTACTTTACACACAAAAAATGAAAAGTAGATACCTTCGATAGTACTACTTAACTACAATTCCTTAGTTCATTCACCAACAATAACAATAAAAATTGTAGCACAATAGTCCAATAGGTGAGAATTGTTCATATTTTGTTTGATAGAACAAAACAAAACAGCTAGAAAGCAAAAGTATTCTAGTAAACAAGAAAATATGAAATGGTAACATCCGCTGAAACGGTTTGGGTTTCAATTAGCAGGTTCAAAGTTGAAACCCTATTCTATATACTTTGTTTCAGGAAGCTGAGTAGCATTACTACTCCTCAGACAAACAATGGGGTTGGACAAAAGTGAATGGACGCATACTTGGTGAGTTAAACCACGGTAAAATATGTCATCATATCAATCAGATTAGCCAGTCAGCTACAACGTAGGACCAGGCACACATATGCATCGGTCCAAGTTGCCATACCTCGTTAGCACAACAAGAGGAACACCGGATTCATAGTAGTTAATTTAATGGTGGTGGTGGTAATATATAAGAGATAGGTTGTATATCAGGATATAGTATAGGTAGGAAGAACGTTATAAAGCAAGTTTAATCTCAAGGTTTAGGGGAAGATAAAGAGTGTATACACCGACGCCATTGTGATTGATTCTGAGCTGTCACACAGTCTCCAACCATTGGTTACGATAGTCACGCGGACCCCAACCAGGTAGTCTGCATCTACCAACATGGCTTACACCAGAAGTGAGTGAATTCAAGCACTGATGCCATGTTTTGGTTTGGTCACCGCTAACTTTCTTCCAACCATCGCCAATACTAGTCAGCATAGTGCGCCGTGGTAATCGGTGTTCAGGCATACGTAACACGTGGCCTAACCATCTCAGTTGATGAAGATTAACGACCTCATCAACTGATTTACCATCATTTCCTAATACCCTCCGTCTAACCTCACTATTACTTACCTGGTGATAAAGGTTAGATAGGTTAACCACTAAATTACAGCACCACTAAATGAGAGAATACAAAATATTCATTAAAAGTCAAGAGGAAAATGTAAAACTTGGTGAGAACGAATCTTTACTCAAACACTTACCCAAATGGTTCATCAAAATAAACAGCTGTCTCACTAATTAAATCAATTATTCCTGTATTTTTTGGCTCTTCACATAGGGGTATATTGATAAAAGCTGAGTTGAAGTTAAGCTTTGATCTAAAAATTCAGCGAAAAGGAAATGAGAATATACATTTACAGTATAAATGGCGTTTAGACAATTAAACAAGTGAATTCGAGTAATTTGTGATCAGATTTGGATAGACATTGAGATTAAACATTAATCATTCACTAGTCAATATTTCAAAGTGATATTCTGCTTCACATATACTCCTACTAATATAGCCACTACTATATTATTACTACCAGTAGTATTGATATTGCCTGGCTCTTCAGATCAAATTAAGTGAAGTGAGGCTTGAAACTGAGTCCTTATAGTTGGAAGCCGAGCGGGTTTGTCTCTAAGCCTCTACATAAAGCATTCTTACTAACCGTGAAACATTTAAAAAATTGTTGCGAATGACATCCAAAGGTTATTGTATACACATACACTAAGTTAGTACACTAAGATTGGAAATTAATGAATCTATTTAACCCATACATAGCCCTTCGGGTACGATGGGTTTATACTTCCTCTTGTGCTAACTATTGTTTCAGCTAATCGTTTGTCAGTCGTTTGACAGTCAGTCATAATCAACGTACAGCGTGGAACATATTTTGAATTTCAAGAGTTGGCATATTATATTGGTATAACGAGAGGAAACTAACAAATCGAAATAATGTAGTAGTAGTAGTAGTAGTAGTAGTAGTAGTAGACATCCAAAGGTTATTGTATACACATACACTAAGTTAGTACACTAAGATTGGAAATTAATGA